TTATTTTTAAGAGTCTCCATTTATTTTTTGATCGCTTCTTTTTGTTTGTTTTGCCCTTCTATAAAACGCTAATACGACGTAAGCCCGAGTCTTTGGTAGTTTGAATTAGTTTAATAATTAGGATATTAAAGTAGCGAAGGTCCGAGTGTTGCGGGATTTATAACTTTAATTAAAAATCTGTTTAAGTCTTTTTAAGTTTAATTACGGTGTCGAAAAGATACCAGGAGATTTCCCTCAACGATCTTCCGTCAAGAGATTTTCCCTTCGGATTCTTCTTCTTTATTTCCGACTCTTTTTTTTTAAAGTCGAATCTTAAAATTTCGCCTATGAACTAAGATTCGATTCGTATCTTTTAAATCTTATCTTCGACTGGGAGAAAACAAGAAAAAAAAAATATTATTATTAATTTGGAATAATGAGACGAATTAATTTAATTTTTATTACGTTGGGTTTTGCCGACTCCAAAAATTATTATTGGGAATCTATTATTATTATTGTAATTTGACGGATAATTAATTAGTGGGGTGGAAAATTCATTTTTAGTGGGAAGCTAACGGATGAGAAATTAAGCAATAGGCCTGTCCAAAACAGAGAACAAAAGTAGGTAAGTTATAATTAAGCGTGATATATCGATACGCGAGGATTAAAAATCGCAGGATTTAAAAGTCTGTGGAGAAGACAGAGAAAACAATACGAATTCATTAGTTTGTTTGTTGGAAGTGGAAATTATTTCTATAAAATTCGACTGGATATTATTCGATAAACATTTCTGGAAATGTGATAAGGAGACGGGCAAAAGAACGAAGCGTAAAACAATTACTCGTAACTTTCCGGAGATTTTTTCTACACTCGTATTATTTAAAGAGAAAAAAATAAACGAATTTCCGGTCGGTATTTTATTCTTTTGATTTATTCTCGGAGATTTTAACGGGAATGTAAGATAATCGCTGGTACTTCAATGGTAGTCTTTGTAAATTAAGCGAGTTGTTGGATGAATCTCGTAAATTTTTGCCTACCAAAATTAAAGTGTAAAATTTACAAAGTGTATTGAATTTGACGGCGATGACGAGAAGATAAGAGGAATTAATTCGGCCGTATATCGATTAATGCGAGAGGAGAAACGAAAGGAAAATGTGACCGATCTTAAAATGTCCGGATTGCAATGAGTCTGTCCGAGAGCAAGAAGTCCTTTTCGGATCTTTATAAAAATAAAACGATAAAGCAAGAATATCGGCAAACATGAAATTGAATCCGTCGTAGTCCAAGAAAAAAAATTTTTTTTTTTAACTACGATCGTCAGAAATTCTGTAGAAGAAAATCAATTCCGTCTAAAATGGTTCCTAAAATATTGTTTCTGTCGAAATTGTTGTAGCCGAAACAATTCTAGTTGCTTTCTAAATTTAATGTTTTTCCTCGGAAAAATAAAACGTTTTAGTTTATAGAGATATTCAGAATCAAACAAGTCTCGAAAAATCCAAAATGTTTTTGCAAAATGAAAACCATAACAGTTTTGACCTTCGCCAGTTCAAAGAAAGAATTGCTTCTGTTTTAATCTAAAATTTTCTAGTTAGTTTGTTCGAGAAACAAACAATTCTTCTTATGTCGAGCATTCTTCTTCTTTCTTTTTTTCCTCTTTTTTTCCCCCTCTTTTCTTTCTGTTAAGCTATCCAATTTAAACAAACAATTAAAACTTGTTATCCTTTAACGTGTTTAACAACACTTAGCAAACACTCGTCATTCATTCATTTACATATTTATTTATTTACAGTAATAAGTGGCAATCTTCTTCCTTTCTATTTGTTTATCCGCCGAAAATTTTTAAAAACTACGTTAATAAAAGTTAGTTTTCGAATGTAAAATTATTTTTACCCATTATAATTACCGTTAAAAATATATTTTGATACGTTTATGTCGGTATAGAGATTACGTTTCGTGGCACCGAAGTGAATTTCGTCACGGTTATTAATTAATTTGGAGATTTTTCCAGCTTAAAATTTAAAAATACGAAAGAAACTTTTGCGGGAATCGCGGTATCAAATATTAAAATTCGAATTAAAACGGAAGAAGGGGGACTTAGACCAATTTCGATTTATAAATATCAATTGGTCACCGTGTCGGCGGAACGAGGATAGTCGTCGTTTCTTCCTTCGTTCCTCCACCAGATTTTTATTTCGGTTTAAATACGTCTTTTCCTAGCTTATTCGTCATCCAATCGAACGTGTGACGAAATCATTTCACGCCACAAAATTTACTTTCACGTGTAAAATTTTCATAACAGTTAATGTCGTATCGATCGATTTTACACTCCAAAGAAGAGCTCTTCTTTCGAGCCTTTTGCCAAATACATTTATTTATATTCGTGTATTTTCTTATCCAAAAATAACAATACGCTTATTAAACTCTATTAAAAGAATACAAGTAAATATTATTTATGCCTTTGCCTAATTATATTCCTATAAAAAAAAAAGGCGGTGGAAGACACATATCTAGAGTCGAAGGCTTTCTTACCTTTAAAATATTCTTTCTTATAGAAATCCATTTATCGATTTTATAGCAGAATGTTTCTTTTATCGATTACGTACATAGCGTATAAGTTACAAAAGACAACGATTTATAAACAAAAATAATTTCCACGCGATTACAGAGTAAATAATTTGGCCATTATTAGGCCCGAGTAAGGCGATAATATTAGGAAAGAAAGACAGAACTTTTGCATTATTACGAGCGACGAAGATGCCATCGGAGATTTATCGATTATTAGGTAAACCGCCGGAAAAGTCGAAAGAGAAACGAAAATAATATTTCAAAGTAGGAGGAGGTTTTTTTATATCTTAAAAATGTTAACAATCCGCTTATCGATTATTAATACGATCTGGTCCAAATGTTTTATTTATCATTAAAAGTCGATTCTTCACTACCGAGTCGGACAGAAAAATTAAATCATTTATAAATAAAAAGAGATGGCTTTTTCTCGACAAAACGAAGTGGAGAGAATCGAATAATTATAAATGATACAATTAAATGTCGCAATCGTGCAGACGGAACATCTCCTCGCCAACGTTTCGCGTTAAGTGGAAATAGGGACGATCGGTTATTAGGGAATATTAGGAAGGGCGTAGGGTGATAAAGACGTTTACATATTAATTCCACGTTAGAAACAATTATAAATCGGAAGGAAGAAAAGTATGTTAAGTGTACAATACTTACGTATTGCGTAGACGGGTCGAAGGAGATCGAGGGGGTTAAAAACGGATAATTTAGCAATTGGACTGCGGGAATTGTTACGAAACGAGGAAAAGGGGCGAGATTATTAAACAAAGACTAAGCAAATAAGTAATAAGATTAGGAGACAATTAACTGCCGTCTTACTAATTGAGTAGTCGGACGGCAGCGATTACCTGGCGCGTGCGGTGGCCGATAGTAATCGAGCCCAAGACTCGATTAAATCGCTCGAGTAATTACGTTGGACGTGAAATATTTGCCGGCCGCTCCTTGCCAACGCCACGAATTCGGATTCTTTTTTTCCCCTTTTTATTATTGTTTTGCTCTTTATTTTACCACGGCGAGAATTTTAAAAAATTGCAGAAACGGGGCGCTAATGACCCCGACACGCGCCTCCCGTCCCGGTTTAATTAATACCCGAGCGTAATGCGACTCTCTCTTTAAATTTATTATTAAAAAACCGGAATTTGTTGTTTTAATAAAGATCCTTTAAAATTTATTTCCTCTTCGACTTACTTATATTCGACACCGTGTAATATCCATTTTAACAATGTTTTATAGATGTTATAATTTATAAAGAATGGCCGAGTTGGGATTTTCGGAAAGCCGAGAGGCCATTATTTCGTCTCTATCTACGTATCGGCAAGATAAATGTTAAAGATGTGAATAATTCGAAATCGATACACCGTAATTTTTTCCTTTATATTTTATCGACGTTAACCTTGTTTAGTTTTTAAATTTATTTTATACTTTCTTATTGCGGGCGGCAACCGAATCTTCCGGAATTTACAAACTCCTTCGCCGCAGCCCGCCCTCTTAAAGTGTTATTATCTAAGGGGTCAATTGGCGAAAATTGTTCCCCGCCTGCGACCAGAAGCGATTCGGAACTTTCTTCGGTAAATATGCGCCGGTTAAAAGATATTAATTAAATGTAATCGGTGCTCGGACGGTAATTTAATGAAGAAAATAAGCTCTAGTGTCAAAATGTTTATTTTCGCCGACTGAATATGCTAATCTGTACCAATACCCGCGAGAGCTCGGCCAGAGAGTACCTTAATTATACGCCAAATCCGGATAAAAATTAAACCTATATTTTTTAATTTAATTTTATCCGATTTGTATAATTAGATTTGATTTATTTCTTTTATTTACACGCGCTCAGTTCCGATTTTAATAATGGACGGACTACCGAAAAAGTTCTGGCCGCCCATATCCGTTGGTTTTAAAAGAATTATCGATAACGCTATATTATTACGGGGAGGAAACCGGAGAATAAACCAAACCAAACCGATAAACTTTCCGGTAACTTTGACTTTGGTGAAAGTTATAAAATGGATTATAATAGAATTACAAAGTAGAATTCCATCGGTAACCGGCGAGAAAGATTAACCCAACGGGGGCCGTAATTTTGGCGAAATCGTCGGATTTAAAAAGACCCGATTGGAAATCTTTTTGGAGAATGTAAAAAGTAACATTTCCCAAATTTTATTTTAATTTTTATTGACAATTTACGTGTGGTAAAACGATAAATAAAGTGTCTTGAAATATTGTTCCTTTTTCGACCGAGGAGAAAAGACAGTTTTTACCGATACTTAAAAGTTTTTCTGGCGGTAGCTTCCGTTACGAATTCGGATATAAACGTCTAAACAAAATGTTTTCGTATTAATTATTATTTTTAATTATTTTCCGAAATTTGTAATTAATACGATTAATAACGCGAAATGGACTACGCACCAGATTACGGTCGATTAGAATATAGCCGTTTCGGATTAGAAGAGGGCGCCGTCATCGGCGAAGAGAAGAGAGACGTCTCGGCTCGAAATACAAAATAGGCCATGTGTCTTTTCGTTCCGAGTTTGACCGATATTTTCCGTTACGTACCGTATTTATGGTTAGCCTGTCTACCGTTGTGCGGTACAATATGGGGAATTCGGCAGGCAGCGGGGCAATCGATTTTAATGTTAGTCTTTGTCGTCGTCTCTAGTCTGATTCCCGGGAATTGGGTAGGCATCGGCCATTTTGACGTTTCGTCTCTACCGTAAACCGTTCTTTTATTTGTTAGTTGGGGATTAATATCGTCCACGACAAACTATCCGAAGGTGGTCGTTAACCGTCGGCGAGCGCAATCGAAACCCCCCCTCCCGCTCGTCGTCGGGGGTGTTTAATGGAAAGACGTGGTTTCATTTACGTAAATATGGCCGGAGCGCGGCAAAGTACACGTGTTGGGTTGGAGAAATTTTAATCGATTCACGTAGAAATTAAGAGCGGAAGGTGGCATTAAATAACCGAGAGTCGGAAAAGGTAAAGGTAAAAATTCCCTTCCGACCGGTTACCTTCGTCGATTCGCCTTATTTTGTTGGATCTTTGGCTGCTCCGAATTACAATTTTGTAAGGTCGTTGGAATAGATGAAACCCGCGATGGTTTCTTAATCGATGGCGAAATTTTTCGCCGCACTTTACCATAGAGCAAACGTAATATTTCCAAATGCCCTATCGATAATATACTAACGACGATTATAAATAATACACCGGGCAGATTATAATTATTTAAATAGATTCCGAATTTTTTCTCTCGTCGGGGTGATGCTAACGATCCCGTTTAAATATATCGTCGTTTCGATTTTACACCCTTAGCAGAAATTTATCCGATAAAAACGTGAAATAGTCATTTAAGTTAATTATTTCTGTTCAAAATATTTGATGGGCAAAGTTTTTACCGTCGATTCAATTAATTTCGCGTTTCCGACTAATAGACCGAAATGGCCGAATTAACCTGGCACGAAATTTTCTTCCGTATTTTACATTTAAGAAACCGATGAAAATATTTACGTAGGCCATTGACCAAATGCTATGTTTATTAAATAACGTTAAAAGCAATATATCTAATAATAATAATAATAAAAACCTTTTTCTATGTAATGTGTCCTTTCAAAAGTAACAGGCGATAAGTTTTCTATGGGAATAATTATGATCGATTCGATTGCCTACAGAGATTTTGCCATTAGACTTCTAATTTTGGAAATTAAAAGGAATGCATTATTTAAGTATGATTAAAATCAGAAAGACGTTTAATATTTTTCGACAATTAAACTTTACCATTTAATTTTCTTTTCATAATTGAATCGTTAGTTTAAAATATACTTTTTACCACATTAATTTTTTAACTCGTGAAACAAATCTTTGTAGAAAATATGCTGCCGTTGATATAAAATTTAAATTATTTTAAAAGAATATATTTATAACCTGTTACAAATTTACCATTTAGTTGATCTTTTTCTCTTCAAATTTATTTATCATTTTTTAAAGTAAATACAACAGATAAACATTGATATTGTCACTTTCCCTTCCCTAGAGTAACATTGCAAAAGAGACTCCTATTAAAATCCATATTTTTAAAATAATGGTTATCTTAATTTTCAAATAGTATTTTCTTTTTATTTCCAATGAAAAAAATCGGATGCGTATTAAAATCTCAGAAAATTCAAACTATTAAGGCCAGTTAAATATAACAAAGTATATATAGCACTTAAAATGATATGTAAAAACTTTTCTGGACTTGTACAAAATTTTTGTTTTTTAGATTTGTTGATATTAATTTAAAAAGAAATTAAAAAGATAGAATCTTATTAATATAACAATGCACATTGCAAAGATCATTTTGAATAATTGTCTAATACTGTATCTACCTGAAATTATCTGTATACTGTAGTTATATTTCTAAACTTCTTACTAGAGTCCTAGAATTGCTTAAGATGCCCGTCGACAAACCGCACGATTACGTCCGAGAAATACGGACGCGATTATTTTTCTGGTAGAACTAAATGAATACGAGCGTTATTAATTGTACCAAACTACCCTTATCTGTGTATAGTAGTTGACATTTACATCTGTAAATGTGTTTGCAAATGGCTAACTCTTGTAATTTCTTATTTTAGGCTTCTCGCCCTGCATCCAAAATCTTGCGTGTTGTCTCCCACTGGTGGATATGTAAATAACTGGCTTGTTGGTCTATATTTGGCACGTGTTGATAGTATTTTTTTATTTAGAATAGTCTTTCCAAAAGAAAATTTTCAGTAGATACATTTGATAAACAAAAATCTTATATATATATATGGTGTTTCCTTCATCATATTTTGGGAATATATCATATAATGCAATTTTACTTCTAAAATAACAATTTCCACAGTTTTACTTTTTAACTTAATAATTATTTAACATTAATATTTGGTAAACAAATGATAGAAAATAAATAACAATTGATTTCTTAAGACTTAATAGAATTTCACTTTGAAATGAAATCAATTAGACTTAAAATATTGTATTTGTATTGATACTGTCATTAATATAAATACAATATACTTTATACTTTTCTCTCAGAAATGTAACTGTTCAGAATCAATTTCATATCATTTATTATTTGAAAGTAAGTTTAAATGATGATTTTATAATATTTTCATTAAATTTGATTTAGTCAAAAGTAGAATATAGTGATTATGTTTGTTTCTGACTCATTTTTATATTGCTACAGAAGAATGTAGTATATATGTTCTTTCTTCTTCTTTTGTTTGATAACTATTTTCTTTATTTTTTTTCTTACGCTCACGGTTGATTATCTTCCAGACTTTTTGTTTTTATAAGTTTTTTATATGACCTTTTGCGGCAGTGTTTATTTTAATTTTCCAACAGAGATATATTTTCGTACTTAATGCTATATTAATACATTTGAACCATTGATTGATCTGTTTTATGATTTTCAAACAGGCAATTTTGTTTTTAAAACAATGGTTTTATGAAAATTGTTGATAAATTTTTAAATTGATGTGAATAAAATGCTTGTAATTTTTGTATTATGATGAATTTAATAACAATCATTTTTTCATATAAACTAATCTTTATTAATATAATAAATAAATTTCTCAGATTTTTATTTAGAATTATTCTTTTAAATTAAATCTGTATTCAAATTAAATTTAATATTGAGTGAAATAAAAAAAAAATATTTAAGAGATGATTATTAGAATGTATTTTATAATTATAACACAATATTTATTTAACCGAGGAAAGTTCATTGATTAGTTTGTCAGCAAACAAAAAATTTAACTTTAGATACCAGAAATTTTTTAATATTTATTGATTAATTTTAATTATTTATCGTGATACTTAATATATCTGATGGCACTGTTTTGCATTAAATATTCAGAATTGCAATTAAATAATAAATGAATGAAAAAGGTATTAATAATGTGTTAGAACAATAACTGCAATGGAGTGATTAGAAAGGTGGTGGATTTTGGATTAGGAGATGCGGAGCAGATCTTCAAAAGAATAGAAATATAGCTTTAATGGTGTGTAGAGAATTACTGTACTAAAAGGATATAAACCTTATTTTTCTGAACCATCTGAATGTTCACAAAATGGCAATTAATTTTAGTCTACTTTAAGACTTTTTTGGTCTTCAATAATATATCTTTGTTAATAATAAATATTTACCTATTCTTGAATAAAGTACTGTAGATGAGTTCGACTCGTCATATATTTTTCTAAACTTTTTAAAGGGAGACCTAAACTGATTTATAATCGAACATTTTCCATTCAGACTATTGTATGGAACAATTGTTAGAATTGAAGACTGTTATTTGGAGGTTCTTAAATTATAAAAACAATCTTTATATTGTAATAGATATATATTTATTATGTTACCTATAATAAGAATCTTTAATTATTTAATTTTATTACAAAAAGAAGTCCTGTAATTTANACATAGTTGTAATTTAATATATATATATATATATATTTTTTTTTTGTTTACAGAAAACCTGGATTTCATTTTTAGATTTTTTAATATTTCTTTGTTTATTGTCATTCCCTTATACCATTGTGCCTTCCATCTTAATATGGATTTATTATTATTCAATGATTGCAGTAGAACCTTTACTTCTTGCTATTGAATCCTACCAAGCTGTATATTTTATTACTGCTATTGGTCAAGAGTTAGCAAATTTGGTAGAAGAGAGGCCATTCCATGGAAAGGTAATTTATATTTTGTAAGTCCTTAACAATTATTTAAAGTTAAAAGGACTCCATTTAACTATTTTTTAAACAAGATATGTTTGTAATAAGATTTTCTTTTTTATTAATAATATAATTTAAGTAATTAACTATTAATAAGACTGTTTGACAATAATAATCACTACATTTATATATTTTAATATATACACTTAATATTTTTAATAAATTACATTGAAATTTCTTGTAATTAAAAGTATGAAAATTAGATATAACAGGAACATTGTTATGGGAAATATCTTAATTTCATAATGTGATATTGATCAGTGGAGACTGATTGCCAGTTCTTGGCAAAAGTCAATTATTACTGAAAATTATATGTCATTCAATATGTGATAAATATATCTTTCTAAATGTCACAATGATTTTCTAACAGTAAATTACAAATTCTAATCCCATGAACTATTACGGATGAATATAAACAAATTCTACCAATATTGATTGAGAAACTAAATAAATTAAAAGTTTGTGCATAATTTATATATGTATATATAATGTATATAATGAAATATATATAAATCACAAACAGAATTTTTAAGTTCTTTAAGACCTTAACAAACATTGTTGACATAAATATAAATTCCCACTGTCTGTCTGTCTTTCCTTAATCTCGAGAACGGAGTTAGACAGGTGAAAGACGAGACCAGATATGGAAAGATTAGGGGCGGGAGGTCCCAATTAACTATGTGTGAACTTCCAATATAAACTGGAAGTCGAGTTATTTCAATTCAAAAGTTTTTCCCCTGAAAGCAGTTAATAGATGACTGGCACGACTCTATTGTTAAAGGTAAAGTGTGATGTACAGGGGTAAGACACTACAGTACTAATTTGAGTTATGATTTTTAAATGAAATAAATTGAAAATATGATAAAAAAAAATTGCAGCCCGGCAGTGTGACGATGTCACAATAAATAATTGTTCGTATATATTTATAAATAAATAAATATATGTATATATTCTTTTTTCAGCTAGTTTCAATGTAGTTAGATGCATTTAATTGGATTGACATAGATGAAAAAAGACAGTTAAAATTAGCATTTGTCCAATCTGTCTTCATTAACTGTTTTTATGAAAACATTTCTGTGTTTTCTATTTAAATAATTTTTGTTTAAGATTTTATTGGTAATCAAGCTCATGATATAGTTTTCTAAATGTTTATATTACGTTCAATTGTTCTAAAACACTGTATATATATAATATACCCTATTTGTTGCCATTAAGTTTATAATATATCAAAACGAATTCAAATCAATTTGAATATCTCAAAAAGAAAATTATACTTTTATCAAATTGAAGCGATTCTTTTGTACAAAGACAATTTTACAGGACAGAAAGAAAAAAACATGAGAATAAAAAATAAGATTGTATAAATAATTATATGAGATGCAGTTTGAAAGTAGCAGTTTTAATCACTTGGAACTGAAGTTAGCGAGTGCACAGCTGGTCAAAGTCGATCTATTCCTTGTGAGATTGGGGGAAAATGTAATTGTGTTTGATCAGAAAGAGAAAGTTTTCGGGCTGGTATTTATATTGTCTCGCTCAGCCTAATTACAACCAGCAGAAGTTACCATATGGCAAGGTGTTTACATGTACCCCCTTTTCACTCTTACCGAGTCAGTTGGGAGTCATAAAAAGTCCACATCCGTTTTGCATATTTAACGTCTTTTCCTTCATATTATGCATACTTCTAGCTAAAACCACGTGGTTAGCCACGTGTTTTGTTTTAATAGCGCAGCAGATTGTTTTATGTTTCTCTACTCTTCCCTTCCATCTCCAATAATGACTTTGATTGAAAGCGTGGAAGGTTGTAAACTTTATTGTGGGTCATAACAGATTTGTTTACAGCTGTTGCGTAGCTTCCGTTTCTTAAAGCATCTCTGTCCAGTACGCTATTGGTGGCCTCATCATTTCAATTAATCTCCAAAAACAATTTCACCGATACTCATTATATTTCGTATCATGTAATACATGCGCGCGCTCACACACCTAAACACATCCCCCACACACATATATATAGGCCTATATATATATATATATATGCGCGCACGCGTCCGTGTGTACAGTACATACATAGATTATATGACACGAAATTAAAGAGCATATCTTTTTCTACTATAGAATTAAATAATGTACGATGTTGTATAATGTGTTACGATATAATATGACGAGATGGTAGGAAATCCTTCCTATTATATAAAATTAAAACGTAGACATAAATTTATGTTCTTCGAAGCTAATCAATCTATTAACTATAACCTGTAAAATGTATTTAAAATAAATATTTTAGTATTTTCTATAGGAAGAATATAACTCAAAAGATTTTAAAATGACTTATCATTCTTTAAACTCCTATTAAGAAATGATGTGTTTAGGATTTTTCATTTATTTTTCAGAAGTTCTATATTAATAGGTCTAAATATAGTTAATAGTTTATTAGAAAAGATAGATTCGTGCTTTCTGTATTTAGTTGTAGCCTACCTATACTAATACTAGAATTTTGCGTGTCGTTTATTCTGTTCAATAGATAATTGTATTGTTCAATTTTTATAATAAATATATCCATAATTACTAGGATTATTATAAAAATTGTAATAAGTTATTATACGTACTTGAATAATATTAAATAAACATTATTGTATTACCGAAATATGTACATTGTGTAGGTTAAAATAACCCTCACATAATACTGTTTACAATAGTAGTAACGAAGTAGGTCTTTACAATTAATATGTGAACTTAGATTTGTATTGTATGCTGAGTTAGAGATGAAAGAGATTGGTTTTAATTACTGTAAATTATGTTTGATCTGATTTCATTGGTTTTATTATTGTCACGTCGGTATTCTAAAGATATTAAGATTATCGCTATTACGTCATATTTCATTAGTAATTCCTGTATTGGTCACGGGTGGTTACCAGAATAGAGTAACACAGAGATTTCGTAATAACGAGGGAGTTGCAGGCCGAAAAATTCGATCCTTTAGTAATGAAAATTGGATAGTTTTCTGGAATAAAGGGGATGCGAGCGTGATGACGTATTTTGCCGTCAGATGGCGCATCGAGCGTATCGTTAAAGCGCGATTATCGATCACGTAGGGTGGACAAGTCTCTCGGTATCGGTCACAAAAACACGAGGAATAAAGAAAATCCGAGAGTCACGCAATAATTAAGAAGAAACATTGGGAGGTTCGATAGAAGTCACGTGCAGGTGACCGAAATGATTAGGGGGATGGCGCATGTCGCCATATCCGTCCTTTCCATCTCTGTCGCGTTGCCATGGGAACTAGAATAAGAAAGGGGGGAACTCGGGTTGCTCATCTGTCATACACCATCAATGCAGATCGTAGCCGTAGGGGGAGAGCTTCGTATATCTGGATCGCATTCGCCATTCTGAGAGTACTTTTAGCGAGATTGTATAGGCCAGCAGACAAAATTTGTACCCGGACCGTTATACGTCGGAAGCCGATCGTAAAGGGGCGTAAAGGGAATGGTTCATTCCACTTTCGCTATCGTCGTGTTGCCGACCGAATGACCAGAGCGTTGCGAAAATCATTCTAATGGGATTTCTGTTAACTCCGTTACACTTCCATCCGTCAGCGCCAGATGTCAGTCTCTATTCTCTCATCCTCTTTCATTTCCTCTTCCCTCCTTTTTAAAAATTCCGATCGTTTAAAAATCTCGGTGTAACAAAGAAACTTCCCACAACTATGAAGTGGGTTATATTTAGAGCGTTCGCGATATGACTCAGGCGAAAGCGATAAGAAGCGCGTTCTACACATCTGGTCGCTTCACAGAGATACGACCGGGGAGAACTTGGACCCTTTTTTTATTCTCCGACATTTTTCTTACTTCTCTAGGTTAATATTTCGGGATGAATCTGCGATAAATTTTCATTCACCTCCGTCCCCGAATTACAAAGGAGTAACGATAAAAGACGATCAAAATAAGGGGTAAAATCACTTAACAAGGAATAAAAACTGAAGCGATATGTTAATTGGATAAAAATTATCAGTGGTCTACACTCTACGGTGTATTTTGTCCGAGAAGCCCTACAACAACGACAAAAATAATTTAAAATGAAATCAAAAGACGATTCAAAGTCTATTACAAATAAATTTAGTGTAAATAAAATTGGAATCTGTAATAATAACTGATCTTCGTGATTATATATAATACTATATTCTGTAAATATATATATGTATAATTTTCTACAGTAATGTAATTTTTCTATAGTATATATAGCCTAAATATATCTTACGTAGGTTAAATATAATTACACGGCCGAAAAATCAACGTCCACGTACAGTACATATAAGTTACAGATATGCATATTATATATGTGGGTAGAAAATTATATATCTATTTATTTTATACGTAGGATGTTATATATGTTTATAATTATTTGCAGAATATACGATAATGTATAATTACGAAGACCAGTTGTTATTATATATGCGACGATTGTATTCCCTTTCAATTTTATTTACATTAAATTTATTTGTAATAAAGATCGAATCGAGCGTACTAACGCATTTTTAATTTCATTTGAAATTATGCGAAAGACTAAGAACACCAAATATTTGTTTACGTTGCAGGGATTGACGCTCGTCGTTTCCGGTTTGGCTTATTTTCTGACGATTTCAGTGGCGGTTTCACCATTCGTTTCCTCTTTTCCCGTTTGGTAAGTTCTTTTTTTTCTGTTCAGTCCGTTTTCGTATGAATTTCGACTTTGTAAGAATTAAACTTCTTTCAGGGTTCGTTGGACTTTGGCCGTTTGCTCTTTGGTTTCGATCTGCGTCACCATCCACAACGACTACGGTGGGTGGAAGCATTTGCACCCGTCCGAGGAAAAGACCCGGTGTTTACAATTCCATTTTTTATCCGTTACGTTTTTTTTGCAGGTATCATCAGCGATTGCGCCTCCGTCTCTTTACTTTCTTGGCTGGTGCTGTGTGATGGCCCGGGGGAAACTTACGCCGGATCCCGGTTTACCGACGAACAGTTTAAAGAGTACGTCTTCCTCTATTTTACCTGGCCCAAAAAACGATTTGCCTAACGCCAAAGGTGCGCCCGAAAATAGAAACGAAACGACTTTCGTCGGCGGATGTCGCTTTCCGAAGGAGGCGACGAGCGTCGTCACCGTCGACGGTGACGTGCGGTAAAAAGTAGCGGAAGCTAACGGGCGAAGGGAAGGTGGAAGGGGCGGTCGGGGAAAGCGGGGGTTTGGCGCCGACGAAAATTGGAAGAAAAAGAGGTTCCGCCAACGATAAGGTCGATTCGGGTAGAAAGGTCACGCGTCGGATGCGTCGCGCGCGACCTTATCTGTCGAGGGCCATTGCCGGTGGCGCCGTCTTTGGCGGATTAGTTAGGTGGACTGCGCTCTCTTAATACGACATTTTCGTCCGTTTCTGATTTGTTTACAATGACGTGATGGATGGTCGAGTGGAAATCTCTCCGCGCCAGGTTAATAGCCGGCGGAAAATCTCGAGCATTTGTCATCATTAAGATCGCGTTGGACGAGATCCGCCGATTATTCGCCGTCTTATCTACCGGCCGGGAAAAAGACGCCGGCCCGAGTATTAAGCTCCAATTAGACCCGTAACCCTTCCTTCCCCGCCCGACTTCCGCTCGGTGGCGCGCGGAAGTCGGGCGGGTTTTGGTGGGAGATGCCCGTTCGCGCGCGCGGCGGCGGAGGACGAATGCCGGAAATTCGGAATTCCGATAAATCGCGAGATAATCACCGGCCCTGCCTTTTCCTTGTTTCGCTACTCTCTTCCCTCCCCCTTCGTGTACCGGCTTTAATCTTCGTTCCCTTCGGATTAACATAATACACGCGCGGGAGCCGGGAGCCGATTTTTTCCTTTCTCCGTGGCGGTCGGAAAAAAATCATTCTCTGCTTAACGAAAATGACGTCCCGAAAATTTGTCTGGTTCTCGTCGGCCGATTATCGTAACCGCGGTAGAAACGTCTCGGAATACACCTCTTCCGCCAAAACCGAAAAAATCGCTCCGGATGGAAAACGAAAATAGTCGGAAAGAGCCGAGATCGGACGTCGATATTTAAATGGAAAGGTGGTTCCGTGTGACGTCAGATATGGTAATACGTCGGGCGAGAGGAGGAGAGGAGGTCCTCCCGGCTATCTGTCCTGGAAACGCTTTAATTAGGACTACAAGGAATTTGTGGGAATCGGACGGTCTTCCCCTCTCCTCCTTCCTCCCGGTCCTCGTCCGGATGACGTGTTCCTTGATTTATTATTATTTTGCCGTACTTCGCGTCCCTCCGAGACACCGACTTTCTCTCGCCGCCGCATAATTGTTCTCGTTATTATTATCATTTTCCCGCGTATCCTCTTTTCCCGAAAAGGAATTTTACGAAATTCGTCTTTCGCCTCAAAGACGAATTTCGTAAAATCCCGCTCACCGCCCGGAAAATCGCGGAAATTCGTGGATTCTCTTCCGAGTTTTTCCACGTTTTTGCCTCGTTGAATTTAAATATTCTCCGTTATTTAGCATTAATTTGAGCGATTGAATTGATCCACTTCAGTTAAAGATCGATCATAAAGGAGGTGGTCGAATTTAATGACGATTTTACACGTTTAAATTTTTTTATAAAACCAATCCCGCTCTGAAAATTACGCTTTTTGCCATTTTATAATAGTTAAAAATATAAAAAGTTTTAAAAATAAATATCGTAACAGTTGCCGGGAAAGTTAAGCAACTGGTATTTCGGGTTGCCGTCGTTTGTCGCCTAATTCGTTCTTTTAATCGCTTTCTTTTTATACGAAGAAAGTTGCGGTAGGAAAATGTCTTTCTCGTAATTTCTGTGATTAAAAAAACCGAGATTCTCGGGCAAAGTATAAATAAGGATTTAGGCAAAAAGTGGTGTTTGTCCATACAATTTATATATTTACTCTTTTTAAGAAATTATATCCGGAGGGTGAAATATCGACTTATTGCACTTATTTAATAAAAGCCTACTAGGATATTTTTATATCAACTTAAGAAGTACTTGATTCTATCAAGTGTATCCATTAGGGCTTAATAAATGTATTGGGAAAAATGGGAATCTGATTTCCTTCATAAATCACGGAGCAAAGAAATAAAGTTTCCAGCTGCTATTACGTCCGGTGGCATTCCCTCAAGGCTCTGTGTGTGTGTGTACGTCGACCCTCTCGGGGACGCTTTTTAAGTCGACTAAGCCGTAAATATTCCTTATTTTAAATACGGAATGCGTTAATGCTGCGAGAAATTTGTGGATTTCTGAGCGTTGCGATAAAATGATCTGGCTTAAAGTGTGCGCAAACAGTAAGGCGATTATAAAGTGTTAATCGTAATCTCGTGTCGATAATTACTTTCGACTATTTGGAGTTTTATCGGAGTGGCGAAGGTGGCTTTAAGAAGAGTGACAATCGCTATACAAACTGAGAAGCAGGTATCGAGAGTGATTGATCGAAGAGCATTCGATGTAAGACTTTCGTCTCCACTACAAACAAATAAAGCAGCAAACAAAACGTCTGTTCGTCTCCTCGGGTTTTTCTAACACCCATCTACTCATTTCCTGATCTCGTCAACTTTTCTTTCCTCCGTTCGCTCTGCTGCACTACTTCCGTCCGAGACGCACTTGGAAATGTTCAACCACCGAACGGAATAAGCACACAATTAGGAGATTCGGCGGAAAGAAAAGCATCTCCTTTCTAAACAAAAAAGAAAATACGGAACGAGCGGGAACGTCCCCAAATTTTTCTCGTCGTCCGCCACAAAAACTGCCTTTGATGGATTGACGTTACGTAACACACCAGACAGACGGAATCGACTTAAGTCTAACGAAGTGTATAAATTTCTTGGGTTTCTTCAATTGCCGACAGCCTTTCTACAAATATTCTCTCGATACCGTTTCTCCCCGCGCTGTCATCTACTATGAATTATTTAACCCTAGCTGCTATCCTAGTAATTTACCTATAATGAGGACGGTGTATTTTTAATTAAAGTAATTAACTAGACAGCTGACGACGATCGAGAGGAGACTCTCACCCCTGACGGGGACGAGACGAACTGCTGCGGCCGGTGACGTCAGCAATCCGCTAGCCGCAACACCGAATCGTTTGTCCCCTTTTTCTGTCTCGTTCGTTCGCTTTTCTTGCTCTTTTTTCCTTTCTTTTCTCCGGCTTCTTTCGTTTCGCGTGCGCGTGTGCTTCGCTTTCACTACTTTTAATTAAGCGACACTATCCAAAAGAGGTGGAGACTTCGAACAGCAGGAAAGTTAGAAGACGAGCGTTGATTGGATCTTAACCCGACACGATTGTAAATGGAAGCGACCTGTCATTTTCTACCCTCCCTTGTCTCTCAACTCTTGGTTTCCTAAAGTTTTTCTCTTTGTTTTTTTCCCTCGGAATGTTTTAATTTTCTCTCTCCGCGCTCGAATTTCGCGCCAATAACGGTCGGCGCATCTCGACTGTCATTTCCACGTGCTAACCGTGATATATGAATGAAAGCATCGATGTCCAATTTGCATGCGAATTGCTCGGTCCTTTAGCACCTTGGCTGGCATTTTTCGTCCCCGCTCCCATTAGCCTTTGATCGAGGAGTTATATTTTCTAACTGCTTCTCGGCTTTTATGTCTTAGCCGTGAGTCGTTCGAACTCTGAATACATTGTTTATTTTTGTTTTTCCCTTTTTCGCCGCTTCGACTAACTGTCGCTGGAATCGCTCCGCTAGAAAATGTTTACCTCGGGATTATTTGTAAATCCTAAATAAACAAATCTGCAACAGTGAATTGAACGTTGCAAAGCCGAAAGCAATCCCGGGGATTCAAAGCTATTTACGTCGAATAAAGAAGGGAGAAAAAAAGGCCAGCAAGAAAAAAATATATATCAAATGCAGGCAGAATATCGAATGTTGGCGAGTCGTGTTACAAAGCCCGAATCATCAGTCTTAAGAATAAATTGGAAAAACGATGCTTTCAGCCGGGCGATAAGAATTGTGCGAGTGCGTATTAAGGATTACAATCCAGATAGGAATTGCTAGGCGATATCAAATTATTCCACACCCAGACGGCAGCCAAATTAGGTCTAACGAGTGATGCAGTTCCTAGCAAAACTGAGCTACGACTTCTTTCCTTTAATTAATCCTTCGGTCGGAAGGATAACTGTCACAGTCTAACTCATCTGTCATCTTTCTGCATCTCGGCAGAAATTTTCCTCACTCCTTATCTCCTTTTAACGGTGAATTTAGTCTATAAGGTTACATACATCGGGATAGGCAAGCTTCCAGAATCGATGTAGCAAATTGCAAATCCAATATTTTCAGCCAAGACGTTGGGTGAAGGTTTATCAGAAGCGGTGAACGATTCCGCTCTTTATGTAAACCGACAGTCTTTCACCAGATGGGGGCATACATAAAAGTCCTTGTTATCGCTTCCTTGCTCGCGCCGCTTCGGACCAAATGCTTCTATATATCTCATTCATAACGGTTCTTTGCCGCGATGTGTGCAAGAATTCCTATACGACTTGCATATTTATAAGAAGTGCCACCGATCTTTAATCTAAGTGAAACCCTCCACCTTTGTTATAAACTATATTCCATCGATCGTTACCAATTTTAATACTGTTGAATTTTCCCTCCTCTAAAACAATTCCCATTCCGTCCACACATTTCAAATCTTTACTTCTTAATTTCCGACTTCGTTTTTGTTAATTTTCCACGACGGAAACGACGTAATGCTCGACGTAACATATGTTTAAATCTGCATTAATGTTTCGTTTGTGTACGACGTGCATACAACGAAAAGATTACGTATCCGAATAAAAAACGAAGAGAATTCGAATGGTTAAGCTTCTTTAAAATTGATTTATCCTTATTTTTTGGAAAATTGGATTTTATAAGGTATTTGATTTTCTAAAGGCTTGTTCATAAATTTCAAGGGGATATACTGCCGACTCTACAGATATCTACCAGATTCAGTTTGGGAAAATGTTAGGATATGACAAGATTGGGGTTGTTTTTCAATAAGTTTAATTGAGATGACAAAGGTTATAAATCTCTTCGACTAGAAAAAAAATATATATTTAGGCCAAAGAGGAATTTTATTGGATATCGATATTAAAATTTCTAAAGAATAATGGAGAAT